CATTAATTTACTGGGGACCCTCCTACTGAACTTATTACTGCTGCGTGCATGGCAGTCTTCATCTTTTACTGCCAATCAACCATTCTTTTGTTCTATTTGCTTCGTAATGGTACTAGGCTTTATGTTACTTAGTTGCTTTTCAGTATTCATACATAGGTGCAAGTTAGTTAATGCTGTGATTATGACTTTTATATATAAAGTCAATATCAACACGCACCATACGATCTGTACGCACCGTCCATATCTCTACTTCTTCTTCATCAATCCGTTCTGTACCTAAAATATGTATGTGCGTGCGCATGCTCACTTCAATTGAATTCCCTTCATTTTCTTTACACGATATATGTTTGATTCATACATGCTTCCGACCATTATGAACAATTAGAATTGCATATATAAAATAATTCCTTTTACGTTTCCTTGAAATCACTAATGATATATCTAAGCTTCTCTGTTGCAGGGACCCATATAGGGGAAAGGGTAGGCAAACAAAATGGTTTGTTTTGAAAAAGTTCAGAAGGGAGGAGGGAGAGAGAGACAGAGGGAAAACTGAGAATGGAGTATAGATAAGGAAGGAGAAGATGAGATAAGAAGATAAGCTGCTAATTACTTTATTGCACAGAGAAGTGGTCCCTTACCTGTTACATCTATCCATGTTCTGATCTATCATAATTAACTGGGATTAAATTCACATTCACCGGAATGGCGTAAAACAAGAACTAAAGTGATCGAGTAACCTTTGAGGTTGTCTGGTGGGCTTTTGTTTACTGTTTTATATATACAAGGCTCTGTGAAAAAGAAAGAAAATTATATATGGAAGGAAGCGCATTGGGCAGGATCCAGAACTTTCTAGATTTGACAGTAAGCGGTTAAATGGAAACTATAAAAACGGACGATGAATAAGTCTGCTCTGCACTTTGCAGTGCAGCAGCTTCATGAAATTAAAAGGATTTACGAAGCTGCAGAGTCAACTATAAATTATCTTCCACTGGCACCTCATCTAACTAGGTATACATCATTCATTACTTCACCGTTTAGATTTCTCGTATCTAGTTAATTATAGTCTTCCAATTATCCCATACATATAACCTCGATCCAAATAGCTTTAACTGCAGAAGCTTCAAATTTGGAATATCTAACCAACGGTCAGAACTTTGATCTGAATTAGTTATGGTGGCTTGTAGCTCCATGAATATTGGATGCAGACTTAAGAGCAAGAGATAACATGGTCTGGTCCTTAATATAAAACCTTGTTTGACTTTTATTTTGATCCTAAACATAAGATCTCAATCTATTTTATCTCTCATAGTTATGCATTTTTTTTCAAGATAGTCCTCCTAACAATAGTAGTTATAGCCAATACACTTAATTGGCAAAGATATTTTAGGAAAGACAACATATATTTATTACAAATAACTAACTTAACTTCTTTCCTTAATCTCCTCAAATTAGTCAACTAACTCTTATAATTAGGGCCGGAGGTAGTATTTCTTGAGTGTGCCTTGAAACATTTCCACTCACTTTTGTCGAATAACTTGGATTTTCTGAAATTATTATAACTTTAAAAAAATTAAAATAAGATAGAAATAAATTGGCAAAAGAGGGAGTGAAAAGAAAGAGCATTAATTAGTTTTATGCTCGTTCTTGAGGTTTATAATACTTCCTTTTTAATTGTGGCACTTTTGTTTTGGCATCACACCAATTGGTATTTGTTAAATCTTTTTTTTCTTTTTTGAACTGGAATTTTTACACCAAGTTAAGCCGCACTCACGCATGACATTATAAAAATCTTTTCCTATTAGAGCAGGAAAGATAAGAAAGAACAGAGGGAAGAGAGAAGAACAGTGAGGTAAGAGGAAACAGGTTAGGAGGAGAAAAGGGCAAGATTAGAGAGAAAGAGATCAACTGAATAGTACTCTGCATTACAATCAATCAATTTACTTTACAGATGAATTGGGATGCCTATGTATAAGCCTTGCTTAACACATATCCTAATGGTTACAAACTAACTTTTATATTTATTTACAATTATATAACAATACCCCCTAAAAACACCATTGTCCTCAAGGGCCTGCAACTTCAAAACCTGGAAATTGCTTTTGTAAGTTGAAAAGAGAAACCCATGTAGCTTCTTCATTCTGTAGGCCTCTCCATTGCACAAAAACTTCTGTTGTAATTCGTCTTTTCTTCCCTCCAACCCTCTTATTGACAATTTTCTCTGGATATAGAGTTGTAGGATTTCCGGATAATCAATAGGGGGATGCTGTTGCTTGACACTAGGATCTAGACATGGTTTCAGCGTAGAAACATGGAAAGTTGGGTGTATTCTGGATTATGGAGGTAGCTCTAAGCAACAGAACCAATCTTTTCAATGTAGTATCAAAGCAGGGTTAGATAAAAATGAATAAAGACAAAAGAATAGTGAGATAAGAGGAAACATGTTAGGAGGAGAAAAGGGGAAGATTAGAGAGAGAGAGACGAGAAGATCAACTGAATAATACTCTGTATTGCAATCAATCAGTTTGCTTTACAAATGCATTAGGATGCCTATTTATAGGCCTTGCGTAATGACTGGTTGCTAAACACGTCCTAACGGCTACTAACTAACTTTTATATTTATTTACAATTATATAAAAGAGTGAGTCCATTATTGATTACACAAATGAGCTCTGTTATCTTTACGGAACTTTAAAAAATTTTTGACTCCTGATAAAAGGCAGAAGGATTTACAGGTCATCTCTTTAAGTCGTAACAAGACCAGAATAAAAATAAAATAAAGATAATATTACCTCCGATCCTTAATATAAGAGCTAATTTAATATTTAATTTGGTCTTAAATATAAGTCTCAATCTATTTTGTCTTTCATATTTGTCTTTTTTTTTCTAAGGTAATCCCTGTAGTAATTATACATGTTAAAGATTTCATTAAATAATAGTTATAGCTCAAATACTTGATTAGTAAGGGTATTTTAGAGAAAGCAACATTTATTTATTACAAATAACTAACTTAACTAATTTTCTTAATATACTCAAATTAGTTAACGAACTCTTATATTAAGAATATGAAGTAGTATAAATATTTGCGGAAGAAACAATTCCTGGATGACTCAATTAACTTGCTTTTTTCTAATGCGAAAAGGGCAAAATAAAAAAAAACGGTTAGGCAGGTTCGTGAGGAAAGGGAAAGAATTATATTTGGGGAAAATGCTGTTAGTTGGCAAAGAAAAACAAAAGGAAATGTTGAAAAAGAAATTAGCACAATTATATTGTCCGTATGTTCTTTATGGATGGAAAATTAAATTTCACTTATTATGGTTGATATAACACATATATGTCTAAATACCGAATGAAAAATAGAAATAGTGTGATTTATTTTTTTCACCGAAGATAAGAAAATACCAAAAAGACGTACAGGGACGAATGATGAGAATAAAAATGGTGTGGGTAAGAATATGTGGAATGGGAATCACGGTTGAGTATAGTGGGCCTCACGAAACAAGTTGGGTTTAATATTGAACCAAGCTACTTGTGGGCTTTAGGCTCAACCAAACGCAGATGCAAGATTCTAATTCTGTGTATCTATGGGCCTGAAAATTGATGCCCTCGGTACATGGATTGTAAAAAAACCCAACATGTTCCAAGATTTTCTGAGAAAAACTTTCTGGGCCGAAAGGAAAAAAAGAGGGAGAGATAATACAAGTATTAATGAAGCAGCAAATAAACCAACAGGAGTTGGGTCTAACATAAGAAGTTAGTCTCTCACAACATAACAAATTAAGATTTGAATCCCTGTTGAGAGAGGTGCTTATATTTAGTACCTGACAGTACCTCAGATAGGAGGATACTTATGCTTTAGTGGAAAAAAAAAATGAAGCAGCAGATACAATGGAACATAGATTGAAATTTTCTCAGAGAAATTTCTATTTAGGGGGTGTTTGGATATCCTGAAAAGAGCTTCTCAGAAGCACTTTTCTGCAAATCGAGATAAATTCCTCCACATATTTACCTCGTAAACCGTAAAATCATTCTAAAATCATGGTTTGGTTTCCATCCAAACACCTCATTAGTGTCATATAATGCTTCAATAAGATTGTTTTGAACAGAAAAACACCCTGTACTTATTAAAATATTAAAAAAAAATAGATTGGATAAAATGAATTCATGTACCACCTGAGTGAATTACAAACTCCTAATCATCACAGAATAGAGTCACAACCAGCAAGTGATTCAGATTCACGGCGCTCAAAATGGGCTTATTTGGATTTGCGATTCATAAGTATTTATAAATACTTTCATATAAATTCAATCAAAACTCCTCTAAAATACATATCTCGTAGCAAATGAAAAGTTAGGTCAAAATGTCATATAAAGTGGCTAGCACTTCGCAGCACTCAAACATGAAGCCAGCTCCAGCGGGAGATGCAGAAGCCGAAGGGGTCCACTAACATTATGGGGCTACCGAATTAGAGCAACTACCTTCTCTTCTCCATCATCCACCCCTCTCTGCATGGTGAAAATAATTATATGTCCTTTTACCGTCAACATAAAATCAATAAAGTAAAAATCAAGCGACACCATTATTTTATTTGCCCCCAAATGAACACCAACTTCAATCAATCTACAGTTTCTTTTTTGGTGGAAGGAAGTTGAATGTGATTTGAAAGCACCGTCGTCCTATCCGCGGCATCTTTATTCTGGACCGTTGTGTGGGGTAACCAAGAGAGGCTTTCCCATACGTGACACCTCATCTATCTCGGTTACTCCCTTCGATCTATCGCGTCCATGGCACATATCTCACTGCCTCCTCACCATCAAAACGACAATGCCGTATATCCATGGTTATCATATCTCACACCCATCAAAACGACAATGCCGTAATCCATGGTTATCATAGCTGCACCCAACCACACCAGATAACAACAGAACCGGAAACAGAGGCGCGCTAATAGAGGCACGCCTTCATTCAGACATTGATGATCACAGCTGTACACCAATCCTGCTTCCTCCTCCATGTGACCCTCCCTCTCTCTCCCTTCCCTCCCTCACTCTCCCCATTAAACCTAAATCTCAATCTCCCTTCCCTCCCTCACTCTCCATAGTCCATACTCCATACCATACATTCCCGCGCCTTGCCCCTCTCTCTCTTCTTCCATGGCTTCTCTAGCTCTGTTCTCCAGGCTTATTCTACTGGTTTGTCTCGTGACGTGTCTGGGTTTGAGCCGCCATGTAAGTGGCGCAGAGATGGACAAAACGAGCATGAAGCTGATGTCTGATGCTCTGGAATGGCCGACCACAATGTCGCTCTACGATGAGCTGGAGGATGCCGAAGAAGATGCCATGGACGGTGGTTTCAGCCGGAGATCTCTGTACTGGCACAGAATGAGGTACTACATCTCCTACGGTGCGCTCTCAGCCAACAGAATTCCCTGCCCTCCACGCTCCGGCAGATCTTACTATACCCACAACTGTTTCAAGGCGAGAGGCCCGGTTCACCCTTACTCTAGGGGTTGCTCTGCCATCACGCGTTGCAGAAGATGAACCTTTTCCTTCGATATCTTAGCTATAAAGTTGCTTGCTTTGTGATAACGTGATATCGTAGTGATTATTAGTGTGTGCGTGTCTTGATTGCCTGGGTTTTGAGGTTAGATTATGAGATGGATTCGTGGATGTTGTGGCAATAACATGGACTCGTTGCTGCTGAAACGCGAGTGCCTTTTCTGTTGTCATAGATTTATTCCTTTGTATAAATTATTGGAAACTTCCAAGTCTATAATGTGATTGTTCTTGATCAATGTTGAGCATCGACTTGTTTGATTTGTGCATTTCACGCTCGGAGTGATTTCTTTGAACTTATATTTTGATCTGCCTTCTGTTCTGGGCTTCTAGCATTATCTCTGGGTGATAACTGGTGTCTGATGAGTTTGAAATCCAGCTTATGAAAATATTTATAAATTAGAGACAGATTTATAGTTCATAGATTACTCGTTTGAAGTCTTTGGACTTTACAGTAGTAAATTGTTTGTTTTAGAAGTTTGATTCTGTCATCAATGACAGTAGATTTTAATTTTTCTCTTTTCACTTTCATGATGAAACAATTATGACAGTAGATTTTCTAACTGGATCATTAATTAATTAATTTAAAAATAGTTAATTTTTTTCCAGCTTCCCATGAAATTAGGCAGCTGAGAAAATTCAAGTCCGGGCAAGAGAACTAAAGTAAATTCTGAGAATGAGCAATGTCGCATCCTGCGAATAATTTTTGAGCTAACCAAACCAACAAGGGGCAAAGGCATTGAAAGCAATGTTACAGTTACGTACCCACGGGTCAACATTAAATGGGCTAACCTAGAGTGGGTGACAGGTGACAAGAACGGTACCAACTCTGTTCCGCGTCATCCTTGTGATGAAGTGAATGGATCATCTATTTATGGATTCAAAATACATTCATAACTAAAAATGGGCGGAGGCAATAGCATTTTAAAATATTTTGTGATATGTTAAAAATCTTAAAGTATTTTTTTTATGTGTATCTAACATTTTAAAATATTTTGTAGTGCAATTTTATTCTTAAAATATTAAATTTTTTTTTGGAAGCAATTGTGATTTTAAAGTATTATTTTATAAGCAGTTTTAATTTTTTTCATTAACTCCTCAAAGTCTTTAATGAATATATATAATATTTCAAGTACCATAGAGTATTTTTTAAGATGCTGGACGCATTTGAAAAAGTACTTGAACATGATGGATGAGCTATAAAATACTTTAAGGTATTACATGTATCTTTAAAAAAAATTTATGCTGAGTGTACCATAAAATATTTTAAATGCTAGACATACATGATATTCTAAAATATTTTAGAGTCATGGGTAGCCTAACCTGCAGAGTATTTTAGGTTGAAAGCTTTTATTCAACCATGAAGATTTCGTGTTCTTGTGTTCATCGGCGTGGATATTATTAGAATTTATTATTTTATCTTTACAAATAATGTAATTCTTGGGCCGGAAATTTGGTTTTCTAAATGGGAAAAAAATGCTAAAGTATATATTTGGCTTTTTTATCTTCGTATAAGGTTTTAATTAAGTCTCTTAATCTTAAAAAACATATATCTGGTCTTTAAACCTATGATGATTTTTTGTGACAATCATAGATGTTTTAAAAATTAAATTTAATATGTTAGTATTTGAGAATATTTTATCAATACTTAAGAGCTTAATGTCATTTTAAAAAAAAAAATTTTAGTTGAAGAACTAAAAATATACTTTTTAAAATTAAATGATTAAATTAAAATATTGTATAAAGTTAAAAAATCAAATGTATACTTTAGTCAAGAAAAAGAGCAGAGTTTCGCTTGATTTTTAATCATGTTTTCAAATTTTTTATTGGGGTTTTTTTATAATTTTCACTGGGTCCTCACGATTTTTTTTTTATTATATAAGTATGGGTTCATATATTCATAACCTGTTGATTTTGACTATCGTGAATGTTAAGTACGTAACATGTATTGTAACCCAAAAAAAAAAAAAAGTAGGTAACATGTAAGTTGCTATAAAATATAAAATAAAAGCGAAGTTTTAAAAAGACAATGATGAAATAAAACTTATTTATTATCAATACGATAAAAAATTATCATGCTCATGAATCATGATCGCTTCCTTGCATTTAGATTTTTTATTTTTTAATTCAATGTGAAAAAATTAGTTATACACCTAGAGTGTCATTTAACTATTGACACTATTCCTCTTATAATCTACAAATTAACAAATTATAAGCACAGGGACCAATACCTATAATTGAAAAAATTGCAAGGATCTAGTAAAAAGAAAAAATCACAAACTTTAATGAAAAATATTAATTTTCCCAACTCTAGTTTGACTAAACTCTTCGGTTTGGATTACCTCAATAAAAAGTTCTGTTATTAGTCAATAAGAATTAGTCCAATTGATAAGAAGTCGACTCACAATTTATAATATCATGAATTTGGATCCTGTTACCTGTGTAAGAACTTTGGTCCTCATAGTTTCCTGACATTCAATTCATCTAAATTTTTTTACACATGATAACAAGTTCTATTAGTTTCCCTATGGGCCTTGTTGTGTCCGGGTGTGTAATTTTTTGGGCCTAACATTATAAAAGTTTGGGCAACGAGTCAATTACTTTAGTTTTGAAGCCCATGAAGCTGTGATGCTATTTGAGGAACCTCCCCTAGCCCAGTTTATTAACAGGCCTTGGAGGCCGATTGCTTTCCCGTGACAGAGAATTATCAGCATGTAGATTCTTTAAGCCTCGGAGGAGAGATTGATGTCTTACAATATAATGAACTAAAATCTGGATTTCCGTGTTGGTATTTAGCATTTCTCCAGTCTTTATATAAAATCTATTTGACTAATTTGATTAGATTAAAAAAGTTAGATGAGTTAGTTAATTATAAAAAATATGATATGTTTTTTCTAAAACACCGTAATCATTTTTTAATATTCTACTTCCTCACATACTTGATTATGGTTAATGGAGTATCCATAACAGTAATTTAAAAAATTAATAAATATGATAAATAAATCTTATATTTAGGATCAAAATTAACTTAATTATTAGGTCATATATATTAAGAACCGGAAGAGTATTGGACTGTACATTAAACAGAATTGTTTCTAATATGATTCTTTTAAGGTTATAAACATTAATTTCAAATTTATGACTCAATATTAACAAAACATAATCATTTGATAATCAAATCCACCATTCTAATTTTTGATACAAATTACTGTAAGTTATAAAAAAAGTGAAAATGATTTCTTGAAATACATAGGAAATTGTGATTGAAAAAAAGCCAGCGGTGAATATGGCGTGAGATATAAAATTGATGGAGGAAAAATATCTATACGTTTTAAAAAGCAAAACCCATTTCTTAAAATTTATGTAACGTATATAGAGAAATTTATATAAGCAATTTAAAAAATTCGAAGATAGTGAGTGGAAATAAACCCGGGACTGAGAAAGTGACATACGTGAGGCAAATACATGCATGTAAGAGGAGAGGCGAGGCAATCCAATCCAATCCAATCAAAGTGGTTATAATTATACTAATTAGGAAGCCATAATGATGAGATATTTCAATAAACAGCACACCAAAACGACGTGACTGAAGAATTCCAGTGAATTGGCGTTTGGAAGGAAATCAACCTGAAAGCAACTCACATGTTGCCAGCCACGTGTCAAGTGGAAGCCGTCCAGATTCAGATTCCCTCATGTTGTGGCGCTTAATATGAGCCTCATTTCCCCCAGCCAAACAAAAACAAAAGCCGGCCTTTATCAAATCCAAAGGTTCACATATTTACGCCAAGAAATCGGCGGCCCAGCATCACAAAAGGCATTGCGATAGGTGGCCCCCTTCATTTGATGTTTCTTTTTTATTTTGAAAAAAACGCAAGCATTCAATATTGAATTAAAACGTGCTCTCGAAGTAATGGTATCATGCATGCATGCAATTGTGCTTGTTATTTTATTTTCCTTTCCTCTTTCCGCCCCCTTTTAATGCAGTCTTTGTAATTTGTATCATGGCATGACTTGGATGATTTATTTCAACGTCACGCTTTAAATTTTATATAAAATTATTCATGTGCAAGTATAACACATACTAATTTAAATATATTAAGAAATTTGGATAAATTATTACTTTCAATCCTAATTATAAAACTTTATTTATAAATTATAAACCAGATTTTATTTAATTAGTATTTAATTCTATAACAGTTACATGAGTTGTTCGAGTGCTATGAACGCAGCAGCGGGGCTAACGTCATCCGATCTGTATTTGATTCTTTGCCTTTTGTTCTAAATTGCGGAGACTTCCTCTGCCTTTTGCCTTAACTAATTATAACCGCCCAACGTAAACATGCCTGCCTCTCCTCTCCTTCCAATTGCCCTCCAACTTGCCCATTTTTTATTGTGGGATTGTTGAAAAAAACTAAGGATGATGGTAACAGCGTAAATGCAGCGTATGTGGGGTTCAGGTGCTCCCCCCTAAAGTGGGCCCCCCCAAGTTGGTTCTGGATTGGCTGTGAGATGACGCCTTTCCTCCATCACCCCAAGCCCAGCAGACCAGACACAATATTACATGCTTTTTTTTTTTTTTTTTCTTTTTCTGTTTTTCCTGGGGTGAGACATATGACTGATATGAGACATAATATTGTATTTATAACTTGCTTGGTATATATTTTGTTGTTCCATCACTTCCATGCTTCTCCCACCCCTTTTGGATACGCCCACGCCATGCGGAAATTTTTTTTTTGTTACAAATGTAAATTATTAACCAACTTATCCAGTAATACTTTCTAATTTTACTTTTGTTAAAACTTATCTGGTCTTATTTATAAGATTGAGGGAGAAGGTTTTTATTAGTCATATTTATGAGTTACTTTATTAAATTTTTAGTATGAATGTACTACTTTGCTCTTTATTTAATTATGATATAGATAGTTATTTTTTTAAAAAGGTGTATATATTAAATAGGGATAAAGTTGAAAAGTTATTATATTTTAATAGAGAGTTAATACAGTTTAAAATTTTTCTTGATTTGTGTGAAATATATTGAAAGCGTCTTATAAATATGATCAGAAGAGTAATTAATGTTTGTTAAAAAGCTTGTTAAGAACTCTGTGTTTATCCATCCGCGTCAAATTGGGATAAACTTAGGGGAAAAATTATTAATTTAGGACAAATTTAATTTAATGCTTTAAATGACATGAATTAGAATAAAAAGCAGAAGGAGCATGAGAGTGGCAGGGCAAACGGGCAATTATGCATCCACCTTGCAATCCACTGT